GTTAAATGACCTGAAATGCATACTGTGAGAATGTCCCTGTTCACACCCAAAGTCAGACCATTTCACCAGAAGGCAAGTCTATTGTCTTCTTGTAGAGCTATTTAAAAACAAACTGATCATTTCACAGAGAAGTCCTTTTCTTATATTTGAATGCCCATACACATCTATGGGGTAATAATATGCTGAAACTACTGACTTTTAAAGAAGCTTTTACATTCCTCTGATGTTGGCTTGTAAATAAGCGGTTTTTAATCTCTGATTATTTACAGCTTCATTCAACATTAAACAGCATTTTGTACTCTGTAAAATTCTTAAGGTTAGCTAACACATTTTAGGTAGATTCAATCCAAATTATCTACCTTTAAAAGTGCAAACTATGCATTAATCAAAACTGAAGTAGGTGTTTAAATAAAACACGTGTTTAAGGTTGTCCTTTAAAATAAGCAGACGATCAGGAAATCTAAGCAACTGTTCATTTGCCCTTGGCACTGTAGATTAGCTGCTGTCTCTGAGTAGTGGCCATAGACCACTTGCAAGATTTATTCAATAGCTCTCCTGGATTGAGTGAATAAGGTAAAAATGAGTGTACCTATTTTATCTGATTATTGCTTTTGTGTTATGCTTCGAGTATAGAAAAACAGTCTTCAAAATATCATCTGTTTGCTGTAGCAATGTATGATTCAGGCTACTGATGAATAAAATGAGTGAAGAGAGGACAAAGAAAATGACTTGAAGTAATCTTCTGGCTAAAGCTGCTGCAAGTATGCAGCTACTTAAGTGCTACTGAATAGAAGAAAAGCTTGTAGCAGTTTTATTTCCTCATCCCTCTTACTTTTTGAGTGTGAAAATTGCATTTGATTTCAGCTGAATTCAGAAATAAATTTGGCTGCTGGAAACAGAAGTAATTCACTGTGGTTTTAGTCTATTTGACTCTCAAGCCCCTCGAAAACGTCAATGAAATAAGAATAAAACAAACCAAAGAAACCAAAGAGAATCAAACCAAACACAATAAACAAATCAAAAGTTTAGAAACCCAGGGCTCTCTACAGACTAAAAATATACTTCTTTCCCTCCAGTTCAAGGACACCTCAATAAACCACCTGTGTTTGCAGTAGCACTAAGTTTTGAAGTGCTACAGTGTAGCACTTCAAAATGTAACCATTTTGCTAAATACCTTATGGAAACAGGGCCACTGGAAGCCTCAAAAACAAACCTTCTTTCAGGTGTTAAGGAAGAAAAATAAAATAATTTTAGTAGGGAGATTATGTCAGTCCCTATTATGTTAAATTCTTTGTCCTCTGTGTGTTTTATGCTCTAAATTTAATAAGCAGTTAGTAATTTTTCTTATCAACTTGTTCTTTAAAGTTCTGTCCACAGCATCTAACACTATCTTTTCCCTCTAGACCAGCACTGTTATTTAGCCAAATAATACTTGATAGATGCTATAAAAATTTCATTTTTTTCTTTATTACTTGTAGAATAAACAGCAGGAGGAAGTGAAAAGACAAGAACAAGAGTTCTTGGAGGCCCAGTCTGTTCCATTACGGAACTATTTAATGCAGAATGTCATGCCAACACTTATGCAAGGGATAAATGCATGTTGTATGATCAGGCCAGATGATCCAGTCAATTTTCTGGTAAGGTGATTATGTTTTGTTTCTTAAATATTTTTGAATACTCATCAAGACCCAAAAAATCTCTCTTAATGAAAGGATTAAAATTTCCTCCCCACTTTCAGGCTAGCAGCTCATTAAAGATTAAAACCTGCAATTCTGTTGAGCAGCAATTATAGTGAAAATTAAAACCCAGAAGCTACTCTTTATGGGATTAGTTGATACTGTGTATCAAGGGAAGTATCCAGTGTAGTTAAACAGTAATAGGACAAAAATCACTACTAGAACCTCTTTCCCCTTGGTAGGTGCGCTCTGCACATCTTATATACCCTGACAATTCTGCTGTGTTATACAGGACTACAAGTTAAAGAACTTTTTTTACATTGGGCTTTAATTTCCATTAGATTAATTTGTGCCAATGAACCTATTATGATATCTGATAGCTGGAGTTAGGTGCCTCAAAAGAGGATCCACAAAGAAATCCCTGGACAATTATACCCTTACTATCTAGACTCCCCATCCCTCACAGGACATCCCTCATGGGACCAGGAGCTCTATGAGGGTCTGAGATCTGGTTGCCCTTCATTGGTTTACTGTCTGTTACCAGAGGGCTTGCTAAAGGGTCACCTCCACAACCTCTCAGGTTGGTTTCAGTGGGCTTTTGGTTGGTTCTGGTTGTTACAATAATGTGGTTGTTATGGTTTGTATACCATGATCTATGGGCTGTCCACTCCAGCTATTAATTTTTAAGTAATGTTTAAGCTGCAGTTTTGTCTATTCTATTATTAATGTTCAGATTATTAGTGCCAGGTTTCACTGTAATCCATCTTTGACTGAAAAACATATCCATATGGTTCAGATAAAGTTCAACCTGAGGCCTAAAAATTCTAGCTACTTATGCCTACTTTCAAATGATTTAAAACTTTTAACTCTTCAGAATCACTTCCGATATCACTCTCCCCATCCCCCCAGATGCAACTGAGCATATTGTCATAATGATAAATGCAAGCTCTTTGGTAATTCTCTTCATGATACACACATAAATGATGGAGAAAATCTTGTAGGACATGACTAATTCCAGTTACAAATGACCTCAGGACGTTATCCAACTCAACTTTTGGCTGCAAGCAGGGACAGCATTGCATTCAGACAAGAATCCAGGTGCTGAAATGTTATTGCTGTGCTGCTGTTCTACCTGGACATCCTAACCAAGCTGTTTACAAGCTGAAACAGGGCATTTTATTAATAAAGCAAAAACCTGAAATGAAAGCAAGGGTGTTACAATCCCCCTTCAGGCATTAAGGGATGTTTTCTCAGTTTAACCTTTTTGCCTACTGGTGAGTGACAGCTACCTGCGGCTGTAGGAGTATGAGATCTTCCCTAATATCTGCCATAGCTTTTAAAGATCAGTATCAGTGGGTCCAGAAACCAGGTTCTAGGGTACTCCCTAGACATTCAGAGTGACAAAAACTGTTATAGATGGCTCACTTCCTTCTCTTGCCCACAATAGAAACAGGGTGACTGCAATGAAAAGGGAGAGTGAGGTCAATGGTATTTTGGATTGTATTTGGGGGAAAGAGATTTCTCTGACATAGAGACATTTGCTATCATAAGTGACATTTTAGGGCTATTTAATACCTACTCCAGTTTTGTTTAAAGCAATGTTATCCACTATATCTTTGTTATTTTGAATATATTTCAAAGCTGGAGATGTGAAAATAACTGTAATTTTGAAACTCTTCTGTTTATAGGCAGAATATCTCTTCAAGAACAGTCCTGATATCGATTGGAGTAAACCTTAAATCCTAGCAGCAATAGGAATTGTGAAACAAAAAGGGAGAAAATTCCTAATATATTTTAGATAAAAATACTTTGTTTCTGATGTTATTTTTGTTTAGGCTTATTATGTCATCTTCATTTTTATTTCTCATACTTTATTGCTATTTTGTACTGTGTTTTTAACACTCTTCTAAATTTCCATTTGCTGCATGTATGGATTGATACATTTACACGTCTCTATATTATATTCCTAATCCTTAGTGAATGTAGGCAGCTAGCATGAGAAAAACTTTTATCCAAAAATAAAAGTGTTTCTCTGTCCTATTTCTCCTCCCAGTAACAAAGAGGCAAAAAGTTGCACAGTACAGTCTTCTTGTGCTGCACTGAAGACTGACTGGTAAACAGTTTCCCAGCACAGGTATGTCATAAAACCTGTGTTTCACTTAGGTATCGAATGCATGGCTGTAGAACTCATTTAATAATCTTCAGCATTCAACACTAGATAACATATTTTTTAGAGACTCTTGAAGAATCTAGACTTTCCACCACATGGCTGTCCTCAATTTTGATGACTTCATCCAGATGTCACAGGAACTATATCTATGCTAACTGAGCTGAAATTGATTGCATACGTGGTGTTAAACAAATACATGATTTTGTCAAAACAGAAGGCAAGGACCCTTTGGTCAAAAGGAGGGGGGAAAAAAGTGGAAGAGCTGAAAGAATAGTGATATAGAAACATTTCACAGCTATTTTTTCTGTAAGTTTGAGTATCAGAATTTTAGATGTGTTAATGGCCAATGTTTTTCTTCAAGATATATTAGTGTTTTTATAGAGTATCTTATTTCATCTGTTTTCATAGTCACACAGACAAGTTTGGAATAGAGTTCAGAACCATCATCTCCTACTCTAAAGAAACACGTATATTTGTGATCTCTATGTCCTATATGCTCTCAGCCCAAGTTACCATTTATCCTGTGAGGCCATTGAAGATGAAATAACTGGTAGCTTTAGACAATTTCTTAGTTTGAAAGTGCAATTTTTTCAGAATAAAGATGTAACCTGGTCACTTAAATAGAGAGGGCAAACCAGGTTTTATCCAGTTACTGTAATGTGTTTACTTTTCCAAGAATAAAGTTTTGAGCTGTTCTATAAAGAGTGTGAATATTTTTTTAATAATCTGAAAGTTTATGCAGACTACTCCAGGCAGCTGTTTCAAGAACAACTTTTAGAAAGTTTGGTTTGCGCAGGGCACGGATGCACAGCGAGCCCGACGCGGTAGCCAAAGCCCCGCATGTGGCTGCCTGTGCGGGAGTCCCCGCCGCGCCCGGAGCGGGCCGAGCCCGGAGCGCCGGGGCCAGCCCTGCCCGCCAGCCCCGCCCCGCGCGGCCCCGCGCACGCGCCGCCCCGCGGCCGTTGGCGCTTTGTTTTCAAACCTCGGGCCGGCGCCGCTGCCGCCGCCGCTGCCACTACATTCCCCAGCGTGCCCCGCGGCCCCGCCCCGTCTGCGCACGCGCGGCCAGGCGAGCGTGCGCGCCGTGCGGGGGTGTTCGCCGCGCTGCGTCAGGCCCCCCCCGCCCCGGAACGTTGCTGTGGTAGCGTCCGGGCGCCATGTTAGAAGGCCGGAGGGGAAGAAGCGAGTGAAGCGGCGGCGGCGGCCGGGCCTGGCACAGCCGCTCCTTCCGCTCCCGGGGCCTGGCCCCGGCCCGTGCCATGGTCGCGGCTCCCGCCGCTCCGCGGGACGAGTGACCGGTCCGCAGGCGGCAGCGGTGGGGGAGGAGGAAGAAGGGGACGACGCGGCGGCGGTGGTGGCGGCGGCGGCGGCGGCGGAGGAGGAGGAGGAGGGGCCGGAGAGACGATGCCGTTGTAAGTCCGGGAGCTCGCGGGGCGCGCTCGGGGCTCGCGTTGTGCCGGCCTCGGCCCGGCGCTCCCCGCATGCCCGGGCCCTTCCTGCCGGGGCTCGGGCCCTTCCCCCTCGCGGTCCCCTCGGCCTGGGCGCTTCCGCTGCCGCAGTGTGCGGCCCTGGCGCCACTGCCCGCGCCGCCGGGAGCTCCACGCTGCCTTTCTCGCCCCCCATGGCCGTGAGCCCCGGAGGTGATGGTGATGTGGCTTTTGCGTTGTAGTCGCCGCATTTGCGATCGCATAACGACAACGTGCGGGACGGAGCGGACGCGTGCGGCGGCCTCCGCTCTCCACTGCTGGGTCAGGGCGCACGAAGGGGCGAGACCCGCGTGTTTGTCCCTTTCTCGCCCTGGCCGCTAAGGGTGAAACGCTTTTTCCCCCAAGAGCCCCGTCGAAGTCTCCCTCTCTGACCACGCGGGCAATTTTTCTCAGTTCTGGGGGCAGGAGACCCTGGGCTTCTGGTTCCCGTGGGTGCCCTGAGCCCAGCGCGCTGCCCTTGGAACCCCCCGCTCCCGGTGGCTCCGGCAGCGCCCCCGGCCGGCAGAGCGGGCTGCAGGCCCGTGTCCGCCACTGGCCGCCGCCGGGAACCCGGGGCGCTTCTGCACTGGACGTGCCGTGCCGTGACCCCGCTGGCAGTCAGGAATAACGAAGTGTGACCTTATTCATCCCAGTTGGTTCGCTGTTTTCTTTCATCCCACCCCGGCTTTTTTTTTTTTCTTTATTTTCGCTTTTTTATTTTTTTTCTTTCTTTTCCCATCGCTGATGTTTTTACGAATTCTGAGACGACAAAAATTGCAGCTCCTCAGTTCTGAAGTTCATAATCTTATCCTTTTATTATGTTATACAAATCGAGGAAAACAGTGATGTGTAGGTGATCAAGTGACTTCGGACTAAGGCACGTTTATGTATTTTGTTCAGTTGGTCTGTTTGTTTTGTTTTTTTTGTTTGTGTGGTTTTTTTTTCTTTCATTGAAGGAGAAATATAAGAATTTGTAAATATACACTCTTCTTCTCACTGTTATAATTTGGGATTATTCACTGTGGTTTTAAATATGTCAACTTTCAAGTGGAGAATAGCCAAGGTTGTCTGTTGTGGTTGTCAATTCAGTCTAAAGTACTGCAAAGTTAGTCATGGGGTAGATAACATGATAGAAACTTATCTGAAAGGGTTTATGGCAGGGAAAGGACCAGTGGATGAATGCAGGAAGGAAAATACTTATGCTTAGTAGGTTCTAGTGCTTGTATAACGAAGCGCCAATGTTCTTATAGGTGAGTTTTGTGTATGTTCGTTATGGCAGTGAAAAGTTACCAGAAGTCAGCTTTGAAGTTGTCTAGGCTTTTCAGCCTCAGGAAAATGGGAGGGTGTTTATTCTGCCTGCTTTCATTCTTAGTTTATTGTGTTGTGACTACATAAATTCCAAAGGCTTAGTAACAACACTTAAAAAGTTTGGGCTACTTTTATGAGTTGTAATTATAACTATCTTCAACTTTGAAAAGTTTGGAATGATTTGATAATTTATCTTGATGTAGATGTCTTTGATACTTTAACTAGAAGCACTTAAATAACAGAACATAGTTACAATGGCACCAAGATATTGCTATTTTCAGTATAAACATTACTTGACAACTAATACAGGAGATTTATTGTAATTAGCAAAAAGGAAGCTTTCTCAGTTTATGCATTTGTTCTGTCATTTGTATGTTTGACACTCCTGACTGGGTATCATCCAGACAGGACTTTAAAGAGAGTATTATAATTCCAGTAAGAGAAATGCTGGTAATGCTAATTTTTGAGTTTGTGAAATTATACCTCTGGCATTAGAGGAAAGTGGCAGCTTGGGAAGATTTTTTTCCTCTATAATTCTTTCCAGTTGGTTCTGTCTTCTGGGCAATAATCTTTTTGAATGAAAGTGGAACAACCCTATCTTACTGTCAAACTTATATGGTGACAAATTTTTTGTTTGTTTTTAGTGGTTTTTTTGTGTATTTTTTATTCATGTTTTTTTTTTCCCCTGATTTTTTAATACGTCGTTCAAACTTAATTTTCACCACTTGTGTTTGCAATTGACAGGCCTTGTCAAAACTGATTTCCCATACAACTGGAGATTGTCATTATTCTTGACTTGGAGTTCCAGGTTGTCCAGAGCTGTGGTTGTGCTTATTAACAGTAAGATACAAAAGTATGAAACCAAGCAAATTCATTCTGTACATGATGGCACATCAGTAGTAAGACTGCTGATGCTGATTGATATCTGGCATTTACAGAAGCCTTTAATATTTTTTTAAATATTAAAGTTTATCCTAGAAACTTATGTGACTTTTTGTTAAAATTCTCATGTGGGAAGCTGTGTAAGGAAGAAGTCTTTAAAAAAAAGCTTATTAGAAACAAAGATGACTACTTCCCCTGTTGTAAAGATATATCTCAGTTCACGGTTTGGTATAGAATGTTCCTGTGCATTATCTGAAACATAAGATGGCAGGGAAGAATGAAGCTCACTAAGCTATTCATGTGTTTTGGTTGAATCTGGGGTTTATACAGAAGAGCTACTGACTCAGTCAAGCTGGAGCTATGTCTATGGGAGTGATGGTTTAGTCTTTTCTTGTAACCTGGGACTTTCTAACCCTCCACATAGAGAAAACATGAATCTGTTCCATTGCTAAGCTGCTGAACATCTTTCTACTGAATTCATGGCAAAACACTTCTGAAATGCTTTGTTTTGTTCTGTAACCAGAAGTGGAAAAGTGCATTGAGTCATATACATGAACATTTTAAAGTGCCATAAGTTCTGTAAATTTTAAGTATTGTTGGTATTGGTAAGTTCTGTATTAGAGTTTTGGAATGTCATTAAGAATTACTTTTTCCAGTGGACAGTCAAGCTGATTCTTACTTCTAAAGTAAGACTGTTCGTTTTTCCTTTCACTGAACTTTGTTGTAGACATGGGGGAAGTCATTCTTTTCTTCACTTTTCATTAGTGAGTGTCAGCCTATGTGCCAGAAGTACAGCACTGTTTAAAATGGCTTGTGCTGGTTGGGAATGGATAAGTAGTGTGTTTCTGAGCAGAGAGAGTTGAGAATTTTATAGGCTGCTAGGAAAGGAATTAAATTATTAACTTTGCGAAGCAATGGACTGACTTTAGAATAGTTGCCATAATATGAAGTGATAGCTTTCTTGATTGAGAAGTAGTTAATATAAAAATCTTAATTTGTTAGATGGCAAGGATATGTGGTTTTGGAATATCTTTCAGTCTTTCAGTATCACTCTAAAAAAGGACAGAGTTTATACCTGTTAATATAATAGTACTGTATGGAGGGTACTGCAAAGGTACTGGAAACCCAGTTATTTTGGGCTGAGCAGATTTCACCACTGAGACAAATTAATCTCTTAACAGAAACTCTTTGTGAGATTCCTAGTTCTTAGTTTATAGTCCCTGTTATCTTTTGATTCAGTCTTACTGAATCTCTTAAATTGCTCTAGAGTTTTTTGTCTCCCGCGTAGCAATAAAAATAATTTTTGGTTCAGGTGCTGCCTGTGCAGTTCATTAGCATTTTACTTGAGAAACTTCTCCTTCCACTGTGTTAATAAGACTATTGTTGATGGGTTTTTATTTGCACATACTACCTTCCCTATTTTTCTGTGTGAACAGAAGAGCCAGAGGGCTCAGGAGAGTGTCCAAGGAATGTGTATGAATGATCTTCCTTTTGCTGTAGGTGAACCTCTTCTGTTGCCCTGTTGACTGCTGGTGCTCCAATACCTTTGTTCAAATCAGTTTTGTGTATCTTGAACACCTCATACTGACAGTTGAAGACTTAACTCATGGCCTGAATGGTCCAGTGATATTCTGCTAGATATTGAAACTTCATTGAGGAGGGACAGCTGTATTGTCTTATTCATTTAATACATATGTTCCCCAGTAACTGATTTGTGTAGACTTCATTGATGTTTCCTGCCCAGATTTTTGAAACTTCATGTGGAGTGATGGTGATAAGGTTAAGCTAGAATCTTCAGTCTAAATTGCCAGTCACTCATTGTAGTAGGAAAGGTAAAAAGAAGCAAAACCCCCTCAACGGAGTTTCTCTGAATCTGGACACAGTGGAGCTTGAGCTCCATGAATTCATCGCCAGCTGGTTAACCAGATGGTGTGATGACCAGTATTGTTTCAGGAATCTGAGTTGGGTGTCTTACATCAACAAATTAAGAAGGAATAAATTTTGCTGAGGTAATCAGTAGAAGCAAATAGAGAAGTGAGGATAATCATTGAGAATCCTTAAGTTGTGTATTTTGTCTCAGTATCTAGATGAGTTTGAAACTAAAGGGCCATTTAAATGGTTACAGTTTGTTCAGTATTATGCTATGTATTTTTAATATTTGTTTGTATTGTCTTTTACTTTTGTGAAGTTTACTAAATTTCAGTAGCATATTTAGGCAGTGTGGTGCTGATGGCGACTGTATTTTGTTTGTGACAAAAAAATGTACAATCTTAACACAAATAGCACTAAAAGTAATACTATTAGAATGGACATAGAATACTGGGAGAGAAGAGGAACAAATGTTTAGAAAGACAGCATTTTGTGTGGGGATAGGATTTTTGTGGGTGGTTTAAATACAAAGCACTCTGAAAAAGAAGTTTTTAACAGGATTGTTGATTTTTGTGAGGATGGAGAAAAGTTCTAGTGTTGTAGAAGCAAACAATAATACAGAACTTGGAATTACTATCCAAGTCTTAGTTATATATGGGACAGTGTTACATAGGTATAGCTGTATTTGCTCTATGTTCAGTTTAAATAGAAGTGTTCAGTCTATCACCTGATCTTCAAAAGATGCATTATAATCCCTCCTTTACCTTAAAACAACATTTAGTCATTTCCATATAAAGGAGTTTAGAGGTGTGTGCTCTGGAAACTGTAAAGCTTCTAACGAGTTTTATTTGCGTTATTTTTTCTTCCACTTCTGCTCTCTGTTTAAAATGGGTTTTAGCAGTAACCATATAGCCAAGGTTTCTTCTTTTAGTTCGATAGTTACTGGTAACAGTATAAAAAGATACTGCCTGCCAAAACTTAAGGCTCTGAAGACAAAGTTGTTTGGCTGCGCTACCTTCAGCTTAGCACAAACTAGAGCTGTGTGTCTGTGTCTTTATATGTAAAATATAAAAATATATAAATATAAATAATATATAAAAATATATATAATATATATATGAAAGGATGTGAATTTCTTACTAATTAAATAAGTATTTGAATATGAAATACTGAATCATAACACTCTAGAATAATTCTACTGTAGCTGTTGCCCAATTTGCACATGGTAAATTGTCGGTATATGTTATTCAAAAATTCAGGTTGAACCAGAGCTGCAACAATAGCATGTCAAATTTAACTCTGCATAATTTTCTGTAACTTTATTTTGTATTTGTACAATTGACAGATAGCTCATGGTCATATCAGAGTGATAGAATGATCTTCATATATGATCTTCATATGAGGTTTACAAGAAACAAACCTAAAAGCCTCAAACAGTATCTTAATGTCCTTTGTGATCTTGAAAAGCAAAGCTTAGGGTTTTTGTTTTATTCTTTATTTTGAGAGGGGGTGGTTTTCTTTTTTGTATTTTTTGGGGTTTTTTTTTTGTTTGTTTGTTTATTTGGGTATTTTGTTTCTTTTCTTTTTATTAAGGAAACAAACACCACCCCCCAAAAAGAAAAAAACAAACACACACACAAAAGATCCAAAGCAAAAACTGAAAAACCCAACAAGCCCTAAACATGATTTCAGCTGTCAGACCCAGATATGATCTGCCAAATCTATCTCTGCTGTTAAGAGTGAGTAGCTGAGATGGAACTTCCAGTTGCTATTTAATACTTTGCTTTTTGCTAATGTTTAACTTAGTGAGTACCAGATGTGTCATAGCATCAGGGTGTTGACTCCCCAACAAGACCAGTCCCTAATCTGTTTGGGTAGAAGGTTAGATACTTCCCTGGCTTTTCATCTTTCTCTTTGAATAAATTTGGTAGTTTAATGTCTTCTCTGGACATGTCACAAATAAAAATGCCCACGTGTGACTAAGAGGGAAGATACTGGAATGTCAGTATAATCTTCATGATTTTAGGAAAAAAGTAGAAGTATAGGAGCATTTATCACTAGCATTTTCTGGCTAAAATGTAGTGTGTAAATACAGCATTATAGTTGGGCTAATGAGCACCAAAAGTTTTTTCTCAGAGATAATTTACTTTTACATTAAAAGTGGGGTAGCAAATGCTTTCTCTGGTGTTTCTTGGTTTTATGGGAGGTAGGAGGCAGGGAGAGGATATAGTTTTCCTTGTTTGTTTATATTAACTTTCATGCTGCCTTTTAAATGAATAGGTGAACAGAGTAAGTTACTTTATTCTGTCCTTCATTAAATTTAACAAACCTTCTTGCCATAGCATTTTTTCTTTAATTTTCCAAAGGAATTTTTTTCATATTCTTTGTTGTGCTACAGAAACCTTAGACTAGAGTTAACTTAGTAGGTGCAAATGGCAGAGCTTCAATTTAAATATTTTTATCTGGAAATAACCTATATTTTCTTCAGTGTTAATATATGTTAACTGTCTTCTGCGACTGTAAAATCTTGAGGGCAGCTGTTCTGAGAATTGTTACACACTAACCCAGTGGAAGGGTACTTACTAACTCAAATCAGTGCTCAAAAAGAGATGGAACACTTGTATTGGGGAAGTCCTGTTCTTTTGATAACATCGTTATTTCATTATTTTAAAAGTAAATATAAGAGCTGTAGCTGGCTTTATGTAACAATTCCCTAAGATGTATATCTGGTGACCGATTTAATTGGTTGTTTGAAGCTGTTGTTTCAGTGAGCAGTTTCAGAGCTTGTTTTGGCTGTGGCTGTGCTCTGGTTGCCCTGTAGGGGTTGGAGGAGCACTGGTTTCAATCATTGCTGTGTGGTGTTTTGAAGGCAGAGCTGCTCATTGCACTGCCAGGGCTGTGTGTAAACCGGACAGGGGAAGACATCTGATTTTTGTCTGGGGTTTATGTACTGGGATTTTATAAACAACGTAAAGGATTATGTTTAAGTTGTTAGTTCTTGAATTTGTAAATCATGGCCTTTACAAGTACGGGGAATGCAGAGGCCTCTGTCAGCATTGCTGTCTTCAGGAATTAGCTCAGAGGAATCTGGATTTCAGTGGCATTGAGTCTTTTTTGAAATCTAGTAACAGCATCTGCCAGGTTGTGTTTTTCCAGCCCTTTTAATGAAGTCTAATATCTGTTGAATTGGATTCAGTTTCTTGCTATGGGCGAAAGTTAGTCTATCAGGAAATTGTTATACAAAGCTAAAATATTGCTTTGTATTACTACTTTAAAAAACCTGCAAAAGTAAACTGAAAAATCTTAAATTTAAAAGCTTTATTTTTATTTTTTTCCGCAAATTAACAGTTAGCAAAAGGGGAGAAAATGTAGTTCAAACGACTTGCTTTGTGGTGTAAGTTAAAATATTCCAAGGACGTTTATATACTGACACTTTTTGTGTTCTGGCTGCTTTTTGTAGAGGCAGTTAAGTGGCTGAAACTCCTATTTGTGTTGACATTCCTAAAGTTTTTTTTTAAGAGAAGAAAAAGTGTTTTAGGGGCTTACTTTGTCCTTAATTTGAATTACTGTTTTATGTTATTAATCTGAACAGCCTTTTAAAAAACAATGTTTTTGTTGATACCTCAAGTCCTAAGAATCTATATGATCTATTAAACTGCTATCAGATTCTTCATTAGTGGATTAAAATCTCATAGCTAAAGGAAACAAGGAAACAGCATAAAATAATTTTCACAGATACCCCAGTCCCCACAGTTACTTGTAGGTTTGTTTTTTAGATGTACACTTTATAATATATTTTTCCTGGCGTGCCATTTATTTATTTATTTATTTATTTGCTGATGAGCAAAGGGACAGATGTGCTTAAGCTTGTATTGTGACTAAGTTCTTGATTGCAAACAATAGTACTTAGAATTGTTATAAAATGGGTTTAACTTGTGGAAAACTATATCATGTTTTGTTGTTTCTGGTCAATATTCAGTTAATGTGGGGTTTTTTAAAGTGCTTGTGGAAGTGAGGAATGAAGTCTTGAGGAGATGATGATGACAAATAATGGAAGTAAAATTGAAGTAACATTGTAGTTTTTCCACATGTAATAGATAGTTAGCTTTATGATAATATTTCTTATTTTTATGATAGAAATAGTATGTGATAGGTATAAACATGAAGGACTGATACTGCAGCAGCATACCAAGAACTGTTATGCCTGCCAAGAGTGGGACTTTGATTTTTGCGGGACATGAAGGGCGGTTTTTACTTTAGACTTTATGAAAGTGAAGGAGCCCAAACTGATATTGCCCTAGTAGAATGAAAAAAAATTAGTTTAGGGCCAGAAAGTTAATGCATATTAAGAGTTGGTGAAAGGTAATTCTGTTAGTGTCCTTAGTAGGACAGATTTAACACAGTGATTTGGGATGAAAAAGCTAACACTAGGCTTAACTTTTTTTTTTTTTTCTTAGTCTGTCTCTCTTGTCTGCTACTCAGATGAGAAAAAAAATAAATAAATTGTTTTTGTTTTGTTTCTGTCAGTAACTTTATCTAATTGCCTTTATTAGTCCCGTTACAACCCAGGGATCACAAACACAGCAACTACAGAAGCATTATGGCATTACCTCACCTATCAGTTTAGCTGCCCCCAAGGAGTTTGACTGCATGCTTACCCAGAAATTAATCGAAACTCTAAAACCTTATGGCGTATTTGAAGAGGAAGAAGAGCTGCAACGCAGGTGAGTAAATACTCCGTTTTGTGTCCTGTCATGAGGTTCATATGTGAATATTGAAGAGCAAAGTGTGTGTTCTTTCAAATGCTTTCTTAAAAGCCTAGTGGAATTGTAAGCTTAATTTTTCTCAATTACGAGTAATACCTCAAAACACAAAGACAAGTTAAAATGGTCTTTAAATTTCAGAGGCTGGTCTGCCATTATCCCCTTCATCCCTACTTTATTGTAATGGACCTTATACTTTTTTTTTTCCTTATTAAGCTTTCTGGAGTTTTTTTTTCCCTCTCAGTACTGCTTATCACTGTTCTTTTAGATGCATGTGTTACATGAATTAAAGTTTTATTTTAAAAATTAGTTGAATTCATGTGTGTATGCCTTGCATGCTTTCGTTTTTTGGAGCTTAAACCTCTTGAATGTCTCTTAGGGGTGAAAAATAGTGGGAATGTTGTAGGAGTAACTTTCTTTCAGTGTATATGTATATATAACAAGATCTGTAATTAGATCTGTAATGTTACTCTTCTTGACTTAGTGTGTAATGATGATCATAGTCTTTAAAAAGTTCTACTAGTTTTGTCTAAATTTGTAACCTGTCATTCTGCTTTTTTATTAATAGGATTCTAATTTTGGGAAAATTAAATAACTTGGTAAAGGAATGGATACGGGAAATCAGTGAAAGCAAGGTATGGATGTATTTTACATGGAGTCGCTAATATTGTGGTTCTAAGAGTGCTGTTAGGATGATTATTCCAAAATACATTCCGGTATTAAATGGGATGAACTTTAGATTTGGGGATCAGAACAGATACCATCCTTGTGTAGTTTCTTTTGTTTACAAGCAGCATTGCCCGTTCATAGTAGAACCTTGTCAAAGAAAAAAACTGGTAGATATAACTTGACTTTTTCTCAAAATTCATGCATACAGTACTGTATTAATTACAGGCTTAGATTATTTGCCTTTGTGGAACAGTGCTAGATCTTAAAATGTACTTCCTGCATCTTTGTGGTCTGTGGTCTTTTTCTTTAATGTTGGTCCTTTAATGTTACTTTTGTAGACTGATAATGCTGATAGTGTTTTTGCCAGGTTATAGTAATCCCTGCTTCCACACATCTTCTTTGAAGAGTTACAGATGTGCATGATGATAGATTTTTTTTTTAGAGGAAATGCATAATTTTTTAATCTGTTTTGCTTTGTGTGTATTTTGGGATTGTATGTTTTCTGTACACTTCCCTTATGCAATGATAATTTATATATGAAAAAGATTATGGGCAGCGACCACCCTACTCTGTGTGTCTTGATCCTTGAAAACAAAATAGTGAGAATATCATGACTGGTGTAAGGTGGAAAGCTGCTTAAATTATTCTCATGTACGTTGCAAAATAGAAGTTTCGATTTATTTTTTCTTCTGCTGTGTAAACATTCATGTAGTGTTTCAGATTGTACCTTTGCATCCTGTTATGAAAGGATGCTGTCTTTGTCCACAGTATTGTGGACTCAACAGTTTTTTAAAAGCTAGGAACTTTAGTAGATATACCTTAACAATTTAAACATACAATACCTTTCCCAAAGGTAATTTTGTTTAAAGGCTGTGGTACGAATGTCTCTGAAAGTAATGTAATAAACACTGGTACGGTAGACTGTGTTTTGTGTTGCTCTAAATTGGAATTAATCATCAACTCCTGTGTCAGTCTAAAATGCCTGAGTGGTAAGCAAAGTGTGTTTCAACTCTGTAGTGAGCCTGAAGTGTAGAACTGGTGCAACAATTACCAGGTCTGAGGCGGTAATGTAGTTGAAATGTTACAGATGATCAAAGTTATGTAGTTGAAATGTTACAGATGGCAAACGTATCTCAGGCTTTTCTGTAAATACTGAGATTATTTCCGTAATTCAACAGCGTAAATTTCGTGCAGTATTTTTCCTCTTGTTTAAAAATAAATGGTTTGTGTTGTTATAAGTTGTTAAGGTAAAATAACAATTTTTTTTTCTCCATTTAGAATCTTCCACAATCGGTAATAGAAAACGTTGGAGGAAAGATTTTTACATTTGGATCCTATAGATTAGGGGTTCATACAAAAGGTAACATTTCCTTTTGTGATAAAAATCCATGTGTTTGAGGTAATGTTTGATTTTGCTGTATTTTGAGGTGGTGTTAGATTTCTTAGTTTTTTTGGTTAACTATCTCTAGTCTTTATTCTAAACAAAATGAATATATTCCCATATTATGTTTTTGTCATGGATTGAGAAACAGACAAAAAAGTTGAAAATTATTTAAAGATAGAGGAAGTTGTATGCTTAACTTTTCATGTTTTGTTCTTTGAAAATGACAAGTGTTCCACGGTTGAAGCAAGAGTGTATGTATGTGTTCTGTATGCTTAATGGCCATGAATTTTTTTCATTTGATTTGACTTAGTATTTCAAAAAAACACCATTCCACGTGATGAGAAACTAAATTTTCCTACTAATAGAAATATGTCTATTGCTGTCATTCAATGCATGTGAATTATTGAGTAATTGCCTTCTGCTAATTAACAATTTCAGGTGCTGATATTGATGCCCTGTGTGTTGCACCAAGACATGTTGAAAGAAGTGATTTTTTCACATCCTTTTATGAAAAATTAAAACAACAAGAAGAAGTGAAAGATCTGAGGGTATGTGAAACACCTGATACAGCTTGCTGACCTGAGGATTAGGAAAATGCAGTAGTGAAAAATGATGCTTTAAATAAGCAAATAAACTTTACTGTTAAGACTTGCAAAGGATTTCTTGTTAACCTGTAGCAAAGCCTGTCATTAGAGTTGAAATAAATAGAGGTTCTTCTGAATTTTCTGTGATCTCACTTAATAGATAAACTCTAAAATTTGGGTGGCAGAATGATCTCCTAGCATGTGTGTTAATATGGCAAAATATAAATGTTATCTTGACAGAGTTCGGGACCAAACTTGTTTGGTTTTAATGAAGTTTTTATGCTGCTTTTTTGTAACTTCATGCTTATATAAACAGTAATGATGGTTGATATTAACTAAACTTTTTATACTGGCTGTCAACTGTGCATTTCAAAAAGGGAAGCTATATTTTTAGTATGTCTTGTTTCTAAATGCTTGTGCATGATTTTTAGTTTCTAAAGATGAAGGTTTCCCTTGCAGTAGTGGAAGACTGAGTAATGGAGTATTTTGTTTCTGTTATACCTCACTGACACACCTCTCTGAGTCAACTCGTGGGAGCTTTAATTGGCTCAGAGTAGATTTTCTCTGCTCCATTTTCTTTTTTTAGATGAAGGTAGTTGCTGGCAAGTCTTTGTTTGGTTTAGTCCTGCTCTCATAAAATAAATTCAACTGTCTCTGCAGCATTCTTCCAACTTATGCACCCTGTAGTTGGTAACTACCAGAGTAGTGCAAACATCTGGTGGTAACATTATATGCAGTGAAACAACTGTTTTCAAGGCTTTATTATCTGAACACATTTAGTAATCTTTTAAGTTGACGTGATATTTGAGAGGATTCAGTTTTTCAGATTTCCATTTAACTTTGCTGTAAACTCTAACTCCAGGTAATGTAGTTGATTTAGCAGCAACGTATGTATGGTATTCAGTGTAGCTCTGCAGTGATGCAAATAACCTTTATGTTAGCGTGTCATAATACTTTTAGATCATTCCAGCTAGTATGAGGAGTTTATAAATCTACATCTTTAGGGGAACAGACTTCCTTAGTGGTTGCTGGAGTGAGTATGAGACACTTGAGAATTTGATTTTTCCTTAGTATCGATCCATCCTGCCAACCAGTAATGTTAAGTCAACCTTAACTAAGGTTTTAGCATGGACAGTAATGTTGTCTCCTCTTCTTGATAAGAACTGAAACGCTCTTGGAACAGTTTATCCTCCAATAGTTCAGAGTATTTCTTATTTGGAGGTAGGCAGCATTCTTTGCTTTTGCTAAAGCAGTGTGCTGCAGATCTGCATTCAGTTCAGAAGCTCAGTTCAGTACAATGATATTCCGAGGTGATTGCAGAGGAGACGTGAAGTTCCATAGTTTCATTGTGATATTGTTAATTAGAATACCATATTATTGACCACGTTTTAAAAACGTGCTTGGTCTCTGGAGGCTGGTGACTTGCAACTGCTTTAGGTGATGTTAGGCTGCATAGTTACACAGTCTTCTCATTTCTTATACCAACTCTACAAGCAGAAATAATAGGCCTTTTAGAGCAAGAATCACCATAGCTTAGAGTACTTGGAGTACTTAGAGATACTTGTGAGGAGTAAAAGATGCTTGATTGTGTCTCATGTGTAGGGAGAAAGAGGGCTGGGCCTTGGGGTAACACCATCACGGTTGGTTGGTATAAGTTTGGATCATAATTAACATCTAGAGAGCTGCTACACATAGTAGCTGCATAAATTCTCAGTGGTGGAGAAAGATATTGCTGACAAAAATCAACCTGAAAAGAGAAAAGCATAGATGTAAATATCATTTAATTATGATTGTCTAGATCCGGTAGCTATTGTTTATAAATGTTCTCTATATTGAAAATAAAATGCAACTTTTTTCCCCCCAGGCTGTTGAAGAAGCTTTTGTCCCAGTTATTAAACTTTGTTTTGATGGAATAGAGGTAAAGATCCTATTTTGATTTGTTTTGGTAGAATGTGGTTAAAACAAAGTTTTTAATAACGTAATAACATTATTCATTAATAGCTGTGCTATTAAAGTGCCTATCCAAAGTTCACACCTAAGGTTTTGTGAACAGTCCTTAGTTGTGTAGTTCACAGTGGAGATTTAAGACTGAAACAAGTTTTTTTTGATGGACTTAAAACTGCATGCAGAATATCTTCCTGTCCTTTTTTTTTTTTCTCTGCTGCCCACTTAGTTTACTGATTAGTTTACTGACTGGTAGACTACCAGTATAGACATTATTTAGGCTTAACATTTAATAGAAATTTTATTTGTAAATAATGCGGCATCAGAATTTTATAAAGCTGTGGTCTTTAACTAGTTCTCAAAAGTGAGCTGCAGAGGGCAAGCTGGGTATTCCTTTTGTCCTGATCTCTTAACATGTCTATAAACACATGACCAAAACAATGGTTTTGGTGGCTGTAGCCTGATGGATCAGTTGTCTTGGAGCACTGAACTTGCTTAATTTGATTTTTGCTAAGGAAACAGGAATGGTGATTTCAAGAGATACTCTATTTTTCTCAGACTGTTACATAGTCAAACTGTCATCTTTTGGTTTCAAGACATAAACATATGAACTGTTTATACACACAGTTAATGAGACTTATTGTTGGATTATGTCAACCAGTAACTGGTGGGTACAAGAAGGTTAGTTTACAGAGGGGAAGGAATTCATTCCCATACTAATCTGACAAATGACATGTTGTAGTGTTGTACACAAGATTGGCAATTTCTTCTCTCTCAGTGTGTGAGTTTGTATCTGCTAGCCGTTTTATACTGTCCATATGCCAATATGTCCATATGCATATATGCCATATATGTCCAATCGAGTATTAAGGAGCATTTTTCTGGAGAATCTGTTTGCTGTTTACTTAGCTTAGGTATTCATTCTAGATCTTGAAACTTGACATAGCTGTCCTCTGAACAGTTTGGTTCTGTATGTTGAGTTTTTTGGTTTTTTTTTCATCCAGTCATTCAAGCTGAAGTTGTCTCTCTTTTTCTAAAAAATGAAATCTGAAATACAAGCCAAATAGGGGGAAAAAAAAAGGACTGTTTCCTCTAAAAAAATTAACATCTTGTTCCAATATAGTAATTTATAATGGACTTTGATGGGCTTAGGTTTATTACTGAGACTTAACTCATGTTGCTGACAGTGCATGAGAGTTCTTTTTCTTGTATCATAAGCACACTCTTTGTATATACCAGTGTTGTTGGGCCACAGTTTCTGACAGCTGTGTTTGTGCCCAGCTACATCAGTATTAAAAGATTTTAATTTGATTTTCCTTTTGCTCACCCATACAAAACATGCCAGAAGGTAGAACTGAGGAAAAGTACTTTAGTTTTATGGTGATCCTGTTATTAAAACTTAAAAAAATTCTGACAATAAGTTTCTACATGCCCATTTTATGTTCTTGTTTAAAATAAACAACTTTCTTCATTTTTTTCTTCCTTGTAGAGTACTTTGTATTTGATTGTCAGCTACCTCTCCCTCAGTTACATAAGACAGACTGTTAATTTCTTTATTTGAAAATAAATGTCAATGAGCTTTGAATCTTTAGAGGTACTAGACCTTCTAGAGATCAGAGCAGAATTTCAAGCTGAAGGTAATTCTGAACTTGTTTTACAGTGAGAAGTAGTACTTTTGATTCAAGTAGGAACTTCTGTGTGTAATACATACTGTTGATTAGATCAGCTATTAAGGATTTTGAAATAGAAAGTGCACTGAATACTTTGGAAATACTTTTATGTGGCAAAGGGGTTCATAGTTTAAAATGGATGGGTGCAAAGTTTTAAGTACCTACAAAAAGCCTTTGTGTCTTCAGCTTCACTTTATCTGAAATAATTTTAATGTAACTAAACCAGTTTTGTTCTTGGTGCAATAGTACTTGATATTTTGTCTTGTAGGTCAAGTGATAACCACTTTGGTTAAAAGCCTCATTTGGTGAAGGGCCTTTTTTGTTGCCTTGCAGACAGTCTGCCGATATGCACTTGATATTCTCATCAACTGACTGATGGAAAGGCAAACTGATGTCCGCACTATGCAGTGTCTTTGTGTGTGGGGCAATGCAAAACTAACTCAGTACTGAATAGTATTTTAGATCTTCTTGGCCTAGAAAAAGTGTTATGTTTAAGTATTGCAGAAGTAATAGCAAGGAAATTGGATTTAGTTTCAAAATGTATACACTTGCTCAGCAGCTTGCTGAATTTTCAGAACAGTTTCTGTAATCAGGTATGTAGACTCTTCATAGATAACTGGTCTTAGATTCAACTAGTTACACATGTGCTTTACAAGGGATGGGGAAAGGTATCTTACTCTTTCTGTAATTACATTGTAATTTTCATGGAATCACAGAATACGCTGGGTTGGAAGGGACCCATCAGGATCATTGAAGTCTGACTCCTGGCTGTGTGTAGGATATCCTAAGTGTCACACCATGAGCCTGAGAGGGTTTTCAAATGTTTCTTGACCTCTGTCAGCCTTGGGGCTGTGATCACTGACCTGAGGAGCCTGTTCCAGTGCCCAACCATCCTCTGGGTGAAAAAACTTGCCCTGATATGTAATTAAGCCTCCCCTGGCTCAGCTTTCTGCTCTTTCCTCGAGTCCTGTCACTAGTTGTGAGAGCGAAGAGATCTGTACCTGCCCCTTTGTTGTCTTCAATATCCTCATGAGGGGATGCAGTGAGGACTCCCTTCAGTCTTCTCCAGAATTCTTCTCTAGAATATTTGAGAATATTTTAGTTAAAAGCAGGATTTATGTTTTTGTGGCATGTTGTGATGTTGATAGGGTTTTGTATTCTGGATGTAGAAGTGATGCTTGTTCCCAATTTATTTTATTTACATTGGCAGTCAGCATAGTTTTTGTGTGTGGGCTGGTTGTATATTAATCTAAATGTGTTTTTTATCCTTTTGAGAAAAAAAAGGCCTAAGATAGATGAAGCATCTGAAAGTGTTTCTTTAGGTGTCTGTGAAGGATGTTACTATGTATATTTTAAAGGGATCCTTTGTACTAGCATGACTGTTATTAGTAAACGTAATGAAAATGACTTACAGAATCCTACAGAAGAACAGTTTTCTAATGTCTTACCTCTTTTTTTGTTCTTAAGATTGATATTTTGTTTGCAAGATTAGCACTGCAAACTATTCCTGAGGACTTAGATCTACGAGATGACAGCCTACTTAAAAATTTAGACATTAGATGCATACGAAGTCTTAATGGTATGTATATCCTGCTTCGCATCAACTTGTCTAATCTTTAAATAACTATCCTAAGTTCTTTGATACAGTAGTTGTGGATTTAACTGGAAATACAGTAACTCCGTATCTGGAAATAAAGTGATTGCCAGTTTTGTATATCTTTCTGGAGAAAAGAGTTGTTGCTTGTTGTCTAGACTATTTATGATTTTTTCTCTTGTTTCGTTGGTGTATAGTTCTAGAAATTGATGGGACTTGCAATACTTGTGTGGAGCATTACCTGTTTCTATAAATAAAGATGTGTGTTTGTTTTTTAATTTGTGTTTGCATAAATATACATGAAACTGCTTCATGATATACTGGATATATCAAAATGGTGTCAGTTTGAGGTCAGTTCTTTAGTAGCTTACTAGCTCGTATAACCCTTAACTGCTCTATAATACATTTGCTTAAAAAATGGTTATTTATGTACAGGATGGTAGTGGCTTCAACCTGGCTGCAGCTTGATAGGGAAAAGGAGCATGTTTGCATGAGGAGCATTGATTGTTTTTACAAGCTAAAAACTTGATAATTTGAGATCATCACAGCTGCTTTAAACTGTTTTGTGAAATTCCCATCTATGCAATCTCTAGAATTTATAGTTGCTTCTTACTTTAAAAGTAGTATTAGATAATACTATTTTCTTGCAAACAGCTCTCTGCAACTACTTAGTAAGAATGAAGTACTACTTATTTTTTATTATAAACCCCCGAAAATCAAGCAGTTAATATTGCCATCTATAATGTTATAGTCTGAAAATAATGCTCTCAAAGTAGTACAGCTAGTATGTTTAAAAACTATTATTTTCAGCCTTTAAATAATAAATAAAATATTAAATATAATAAAAAATAATAAAGCCTGTTATTAAAAATTTAAAGCTTTTACCTATGGCTGGCAGGTTTGTAGTCAAGTGCTCATGAATTGCCTACTGGAGTATAGCCATAAAAGACTAAAAATTAAAAAAGGCATGTGAAACTATGTTAAGCTTTCTAATTCAAAACAAAAGTGATCAGAATATGAAATAAGTTTCTAGCATACTTACCTAAAAAGTTTGGTAGTGTTGACAGTGGGGGAGAATAAACAAGTGAAAAACTTTGGAAGCAGCAACTATAATTAATTCTTTCTTTTGCAGGTTGCCGGGTAACCGATGAAATTCTGCATCTAGTACCAAACATTGACAACTTCAGGTTAACACTGAGAGCTATCAAATTGTGGGCAAAACGTAAGCAGTTTTATTCCAAAATTCGTGAAGTTTTCACTACGTCTTCTGGTTACTGACATCTCTTTCCTTTTGTCTCTTTCCTTTTTGATCCACAGGCCACAACATCTATTCCAATATACTAGGTTTCCTTGGCGGTGTTTCCTGGGCTATGCTAGTAGCAAGAACTTGCCAGCTTTATCCAAATGCAATAGCATCAACTCTTGTACATAAATTTTTCTTGGTATTTTCTAAATGGTATGTTTTTTTTTTGTGGTTTTTTTTTCTTTTTTTTTTTTTGGTTTGTTTTTAATTTAGATTAAACTAAAATAAAATTGTTTGTAGACACTAAATTTTAGTCCTGTTTTTATGGTACCATTTTCAGCTGTTACCAGATTAAGATAAATTGGAAGCATTGTTCTTGCCACGAGAAATTGTCAGCTTAGTTTTTCAGTAAGTCATCCAACATGTCTTGTTTTTAAAGTATCCAAACCAAAACCAAACCAAGACCAGTTCCTAATTGAAATTTTCTCAAGTATTTTTTGTAATTCAACAATACTCTTCAGATAAAATACTTATATAGTACAAAATAGTAGCATATGCCCCAAAATTTAAAGTCTTTTAATTAGATACTGGGATAATGGATAAAGGAGGTATGCCAGTATCTGGTTTAGGCACATAGCTTAAATGCAATTTAAGAGAACCAATGGCAAAAATGTGGGTTTTAATCTTGTCAGTGGTAGGTCTTTCAGAATTACATGCTATTTCATACTCTTGAGCTAGTTAGCTCAGAAAGATGGTTTGAATAACTCTGATGGGAACATTCCAAGTAAATTTAGGACAAATGGGAGAAAGGTGAACTCTGCAGATTACAAATAAATACAGTTTTTCTTGAAAGTCCCATGTTTGGATACTTATATTCTTCATGAGACACTGACAGACTTTAAGAATAATTTACTAAGGTGTTGCTTTACTCAAAGTATAGTGTCTTTTCTTCTTAACGTGAATACAGTTTGCACACTTTCACTGTCTTGCATTCATAGGCTTTATAGCCTCCTTGAGGTATGTAATGTTTAGTAATATTTTGCCACACTAAGGTAATAGAGGGGAATTGGTTGCAATCATTTTTTAATGTGTTTCTTGGACTTCTCTCCCGTTTGTACATGCATAGCATAGGACCATAATGTACACATTCCAAAAAATTAGCTGACTTCTGCTCTTTATAAGAAGGTAACTTTTATTCAGGGGGTAAGATGACTTAAAGAACAAATGTTACTTTTTTAGTGTTTCATTCAACGAGGTTTCTTTCTTTCTTGATTATAATTTTGTTTTAATACATACGGTTTGTAATGATGCTATATGCTGTAATTGTGCTGGCTGTTTGTTCTGTAGTTTGTCCATGAAACAGCTAGCTTGAAGATGGACCCAATGTCAATCTTCACAGAGAAATTTCTCTTTGGTTGGTATATTTCAGGAAGAATTTAGAGGAGTTTAAATTAGTTATCTAAACCAGTGGTTGTAAACCTTCAAGACTACAGGAAATACCTTGATGCCCTGGAGAAGCTAATTGCAGTTTATTGTTTTTCAGCAATACAGCTTATTTAAGCAACCCCAGTTAGATCAGCTTAGTCATGAGGAAATGGTGCTTTAATTTTGAAAGCAGATTTAAGAAGGATCACATTCAAAAGTATTGTTTGTGTAACATACATGGTTGTATCCAATAGTCTTATTCAGTGCTACAATCTTTTTGAACAGGGAATGGCCAAATCCAGTGCTATTGAAACAGCCAGAAGAATGCAATCTTAATTTGCCTGTATGGGACCCAAGGGTTAGTGTGTTATTTTTTCCCCTCTAAGTCACACTGTACAATAAATTTGGTTGCTTAAAAAATTCTAGGTGGACTTCATTTTGGGTTTATTGAACTTAATGTTGTGGTCTTATATCTTCGTAAGTAAACTAATTCTCCTGATTATAGAACACTTAATTTTCTGAATTGACCGCTTGAAGCACACTTGCTAAACAATGTACTTTATCTCCCAGTTTTTGCATAAGTGATCTTAATAAAATTCAGCATAAATAGTTACGTCTTAAAGTGAGACATTTTTGGAAAATTGGTAATCTTAAAATAGTTTGCTTATTTAAAGCCTGTTACTTTTGCAAGTATCTTGAATTCACTTCAGTGCAAGTTACAGCTGGATAGGCTTGGTTCCATATAGCTGTAGTAAAGTGTCTTTTCATTTTGCACCAAGGAAGATCATAACTTGAAGTCTTGTTTTGTGTATTGTTTATAATACTTGATCTCCATCTTTGTAGCACTTACATGGAGGATATTTGGCATGATTGTCCTTCAGTCAGTTGAACAGTTTGCAGCAGATGCATGGCCCCCATTGTGAGCTTTCAATAGGACATAATATTAATACTTGACATAATGACATAATGCTCAATGCTGTTTGTCAATCATAGAATGATTGATATTCAACTAATCTTTATTTTGATGAATAGTGTAAGCATCAGAGGTTGAGTTGTATTCCCTTTTGTACTTCAAATATGTTTTTTTCTGATTGACAAAAGTTCACATTTAAATATGTGAAACAGTTGAAAACATGTTCTTGAGTCTGTTATTCCTGAGATAGGAGGTTTCAAGTCAGTGATGGGAACTGCTAAGATAATGGCAGGGATTTATCTTTTATTTACCTTCTACAAGATTGTTACCCTAATATAATATTTTAATGTACTTTGCGTGTGTATGCTGTGTCCTTTCTTTTTTGTTACCCTGTCTGCTGTTAAATAAAAGTATGTTAATGCAAGTGATGCTTCTGTCAGGTTGCATAGAGCCTCTTTTCTTAAAATGGCTCTTAGTTTTCAGTAGTGTTACAGAAATAAACCACCTTTCGCAAGGTCCGAAGACAGTCATTCTGCAGAAGGTGCACATATGTGATGAGATGTCCTTGGTTTCATGTGATCACAAACTAATTTCTATTAAAGAGGGAAATTGTTCTGTTTGGTTGCCATTTCTGGATTTAGAAATGCCTGCAACTTGATCTTGATGTGCTGACAGGTTTACAGCCCTCCCACATCACTGTCGCTCAGAAAGATGTCCTTTGTGAAAGCATTATTCTTGTTTTCTAAACTTTCTCTGTACTCTTGGTCTGAAAACTAAGGTCTCTTAGAACTTAAAACTTGGTTGTAGTAAAGGGAGAAATCCAAATTTGTTAACTGATGTGTATGCTTGAAGAAAACTGATTGGCTGTTGTTATATGTAGGTAAACCCCAGTGATAGGTACCATCTTATGCCTATAATTACACCAGCATACCCACAGCAGAACTCTACGTACAATGTGTCCGTTTCCACACGGATGGTCATGGTTGAGGAGTTTAAACAAGGTAAGTATTATCTTATGCTCTCTCTATAGATGTTTTCAGACAGATTTAAAATAGTTTCATTGCTAGTATGCTTTGAAAGGGGGAGGTGGGTGGATGTCAAAAAGCTTCTTGACACAAGACTGTTTTGAGGGACGTAGAACTTGGCCTATTACGCTTAATGTTGCTTAACACAGCAAACTTACTAGATCCTTCTGCAGGTCTGTCCTTCACTCTTAGAAACGGAAGGTAGTGAAAGAAAATGTGTTGTGCTGTGAAAATCAGAACTAATGGTATAATTATTTTAGTGGCTTAGTTTGTGTCATGTTACATGAAGAATTAGCAATAGTAGTTCCACTTGATGCCTGTTTCAAGGCTTAATATAATATACTCTCTTGAAGATGACTCCTCTGGATTTATTCAAGTAATGTACTTGAATAATTATAGCAGATAAGAGGTTATCAAAGCAAGAAGTAGATTTGATGCAGGGAGCAGCTACAAGTACCTTTCTTAGTCAGAGGAGTACCTTATTGTCTCAGTGTAACTTTGCCTTGTAAAATGTCTTGCACAGGACGTGATTCAAGTATTATAAGGAAAAGGATATTTTGTCTTTGAACTGAATAGTTAGTGTGGCATATGCAAAAAACTAAATGGAGTTGTGTTACACCACAGAGCAAAAATATGTGAAATAATCAGTCTGATTAATTAACTTACATTTCTACACAGATTATGAAGTTTTTATAGTAGCATTATTTGTTTAATTAATGACCAGTGAAAGTATGACTGAATTATAAATTGCTGTGAATTTAGAGGGAGGAAATAATTTGTAGTAGTTTTTGCTAAGTTAATAAACTGTCTGTACTCTGGATACTAAACTGTATTTTTAAAAAAAAGTTTAAATTTTTTTTTTTTATAATTTAGGTCTTGCTATCACAGATGAAATTTTGCTGAGTAAGGCAGAGTGGTCCAAACTTTTTGAAGCTCCAAACTTCTTTCAGAAGTACAAGTATGTATTTTATGGCATGGCAGAATATTTTAAGTTTATCAGTTGAACTACCTCATAATGCTCTCTGTAGCACAGGCTCATAAGTATACATACATTAGATGTCCAAAACGTGTTTTGTTAGGATTTTTCTATAGCATGGGAGAGAGAATACACTGCTGTCCTTTCTCTTGGAAGGTATATAATCTCTTCAGGTACATTTCATGTCTTAAACCTGTATTTCAAAAACCAGTTAGTCCCTGACCAGATAATTAGAATGTCACCAGTTAACTCTAGAATTGATATGCTACCAATAACATTGAAGACGTGTCATCTGGTTTGACTAATAGAAATGTTCTTTAGTCCTGTCAGTAAGCATTCTAAAAATGGGTCTTCCCAAGAAAAAAGACATTAAAAGAACTTATTCTGAAGGTGAATAAGTACTTGAAACTGTGTGTTTTCTTCTGTCAATATAGTCAACAGTTTACTCCAATAATAAAAGATATCTTTGCAATTGTGTTGACTAACTACCACTTGTACTAGTTATTACTAGTTTTTTTTTCATTAAAGCTTAAGGCTTTTGGATCTTTATTAACTCACACCTAGCTTTGCTAATTTTGTAATGTCTCTGAGAGAAATACTGAAATTCATACTTCACACTCTTAGGGTTTCTAGTAATATGCTATGGGGCAGAAGCTTGTTAAATGTATACGGACTTGCTGAAAGTTGTATTTTTATAATAAATATGGATTATTAAAATACGGACTACATCTTCTTTGCCCTCAGTTGAAATTGGAGACCCATTTTTCTTGAATCAAATATATTTTACACTTGTTTGTGTTGGGTGGTTGGTTGGTTTTGTACTAATCTAAACAAGATTGAAATATACAGTTCCCCCATTAAAAGAGACTGATGACCTTCATAATGTGTCTGTGTTTTGTTTCTATACCTTTTGCATGATGAAAGCTTTAAAACATTTGGATGGCTTTTATGTTGTTCCTTGTAGCTTAAGATTGAAAACATTTTAACAAACACTGTTAAATTATCTTATTTTTTTGAAGTAAAAAATGGGCTGCAGACAAATTAGTTTCTGCTCAAGAAGGTGCTAATAAGTTCCCTAGTACATCTTTGTTTCTTTCAAAAGTAGAAAAAATTAGGAAGCATTTATTGTCATTTGAAATAATCTCCATTTTAATGCAGTTTTTTTGTGTACCAGCTTAAGCCATTTTTTTCAGGTGTAGCAATAAAAGCTTTTGCTCAACATTATTTATCCAGGGTTTCTGTTTTGCACAAGATGTCTTTGCTCTAATTTGATTTTTTAAAATGGAATAATACTATGTAGCCTGCTTTAATTTAAATTACCCAGGATTTTCTTTGTTTTCCCTTACTAGGTTAATTGTACAAGTTTGGTTAGTAGCCTTTACAAAGTAAATAATTACATGTAGTCATCTGTATGCAGTAAATCTGGCTCTCTTGGTCAGATCTCCATCTAAAAGATAAATATTTTGAAATTTCTTCCCCTCTTCACACTCTTCTGTTTAAATTGTAGATGCCTTGGCATGTTCTACTAAAATTCATAGCAGTGTGTAATGCTCTGCCAGATAAGAGAACATCTGATCCTTGCTCTGCGACAAGTGTTTGTTTTACTCTCTGAAAGCACAGCTTCAGTTCTCTATCACTCTCAGGAGCAATTAGATGCTGAATGTCTATTGTTCGTAAGCACTTTTGCTGTGTTTAAAATAAACCTCAGTGATGTGTGACTATGGAAATCTAGAGGCTACTGCATTCCTGCATAGTAGGAGCAGATTAGAAATTAGGAAAATTAGGACATCTGCTTTTATTTTTTTCTTACTTTTTAAATGTCAGCAATTACTTGGAGTTAGGGAGTTGCAGCATGTATTAGCTGCCCTTTGTGTGGATTTAAACTTTTAGAAGGGGAAAGCAACAACGAAGAGCATGTAGATAGGATGTTTTACAGGGAAGTGACAAGAATTTCAAATGGATATGAGTTTGAAGTGTATGAGAAATGAAATTATTACAGCTTAAGACCGAGAGAGCAGTGTTTCGAGAGAAATAGCACTCATTTAATGACCTTTAGCATATTCTTTCTGTGTTGTTAAAAGAGATAATTCTGCTAAATAAGTAGAATATAAATACAACTTTTGAAAAGCTGGTTTAAGTTCTTGGCTTTATAAGACTTTAAAGTACTGAATGAAAGTATAATTCCCAGGCAGGTAATAAAGAAAAATTGAAATTAATATGTGCAGGTGTTCTAAGTTGGTGGTTTTGATTTTTTTGGCTTTTTTTTTTGTTGTTTTTTTTTTTTACAAAAAAGTAATATGACTCTAAATTAACTACTTTTTTTTTTAGAAAAAATTGTATTAATGATGTATTATAGTTCCATACTATCTACATCAGATAATTTTTATGAAAAGAATGCTTAAAGGAAGACAGTGAGAAAACATCCAAGCCCCCAAACAAACAAAACCCCAAACTGATATACTTCAGAATCATACCCAGGATCTGGAAGTCACCATTGAGAGGCAGAAGCTTAAGCTAAGACCGTTTTTTGTGTGTAATGAAGTGATAGATACTTCCGAATTACACATGTGCTTTTGATAAAATTATGAATGAGGCACTGACAAAAAGTCTTGTCTTAGCAAAATATAGCAGTGAGGTCTTGGACTCTTAAAACTAAGTGTATCTTAAGTTTTAACATAAATTATTTAATTTTATTGAAAATGGTAGTAGGAAATTTCTAGAGAATAATTCTGTCTCAGCACTAACAACTGGTAGGGTAGTGAGGAGAAATTGGATCCTTTTCTTTTTTCATTTTTAGCAAACACTACCTGAGCAAAAATAGTTAATCATCACTTATTTTTTTCATAAATAAGGTTTAGGGTTTTTTTCTAGGTGCTTATCAGCTAGTTGAGGCTCTTAGACATAGCCAAGTTACTTTTTTTAATAGTTCTTCAGAAGTTTGTTTAATAGGGATGCTTTCAATAAGTAACTGAAAAATCAGTTTCTTCAAATATCTGCAGGTTTGAAATTTCTTTTTCAATTCGGACATGGTTAAAAATATCAAAAAGCTCAGACATTGTTGTGCCTACTGAATGAAACATTCTGCAAGTGTGTGATGTAGGAATCTTACTGAAAGTGTAGTTTTCCTTAGAATAAACTAGTACTAGTAATTAGTAACTTCTCATACAGAATTAGAGGGCCCTTATCTTTTTCCATAACATTTTCTTGTGAAGCAGTTAATATTTCCAAAATGCAAAATGAATAGGTTATTTTATCTCTGTATTGTTCAGAACAGGGAAGAAGTTTCTGCAGTTTTCTCCCTTGCAGTTCTCTTGTTTCATTGACAGTTTCTGACTGAAATCAGAGGATTGTAGCATGTAGCAGTGTTTTGGCTCTTGCCACCAAAATTAGAGCAATATGTAGCTGCTAATTTGATCTGTTGATTTGGATTTGTTGTGATTTGAAGGCCTTTGGCACCAGAGGGCTCTGTACCGTAGTTTTCCAGTGTCATTGACCTTGCTTTCCTCTCCATGAGCTATATGCTAGGGACTAGTCTCTTGTGTTACTACTGTTCCTTAAATCCTGCTGTGAAGGTACCTAAACATGTAATATCTGCATTAGAGTAGTGTGGCACTGGATGACTTAGCATGTTAAAGGATTCCCAGCTAAGCTTCTGAAAAACCTGCCTGTAAGCATGTGAGATTGCCTCAGTACCCTCATTAAGAACTCAGAAGTAATCTTGTCCCATTCTGCTGTCCTTGGGCTTCTTTGTTTAAAATACCACTCTTTTTTTTTATCCTGGTTCTTTGAAATCTACTTACAGTGGGTATACACTGAATATCCTGGAAAATAATTGAGAGTTTAAGGATTATCATCAGAGGAAGCATTCCTTATGAAATATTTCAGATAAGTGTCTTCAGAGAATTCCAAAATGCAGATCCAAATTTTTTAAACCACATTTCATAGTGTTGTTTCGGATTTTGAACAAATGCTTATGTGCTAACCACTCTTCTCACTGTTGAGAAGTAGTGTTGCAACTAAGACAGCTGACATGTAAAGGTAGTTGTGAACAACTTTTCTGTTGATTTCTAGTCAGTTAAATCCCATGTCTCATCAGGTATTGAAATATTTCAACCAGTACTACATTCCTAACCTCTTATTAAGGTTACTGCTATTACAGTAGAATTGCAAATGGCCCTCAACTCCAAAATGTTTTGAAGTCTCTTAGTCATACACTTGGGACATAGCCCCTTTTTCTACTTAAAGCTTAATTTAATGTAAGGTATATACTTAAGGTAATAATCTGTATTTTATAATGTAGAGTTTACTGCAAAGTTTTAATATTGAGGTTTGAATGTCTAGTTTTAGAAATACATATAGAATAGCATATTGTCTTTATCTCCAAAGGCATTATATTGTACTTCTAGCAAGTGCACCGACAGAAAAACAGCGACTAGAATGGTGAGTAATCCTTGAGATTTAAAAAACCAAAACACCCCCCCCACCAAAAAGCAAAAACAGCAGCTCCCTTCCCCCCACCATCAACCTTGGACACAAGAGTATCTAGTGTATCAGGTGTCTTCTTAATGAATGAAAGTGGACCTTCAGCTTTTCAAAAATAAATGAATAAAGATTGTAGAGTTCTGAAAAATGGTAAAAATGAAAAAATGTTGAGTGAAGGCTGTTGCTTGAATTTTTCCTTAACATCATTCTCAGATTTACTTTACGAATGCCTTGTGCACTCTTTAAAATAAGCAGTGTGAGGAGGTTTATTTTCAGTCAGTTGAAATGCTGTTTCTCAAAACAAAAATTCCCCCTTCATGTTTCTGTTCTTTTATTTGTGAAATTTTAAGATTGGCAGGTATTGGGAATTTCTTCACCTCTAAAATTCATCATCTGAAGCCAAAGGAATATTGGATGAATATGTGGTGGTTCTTTGACTGCCTTTTACTTAATGTGTAATGTCTTGGATTTAATTCCATATGTAAAATCAGGCTGCAGAGAGAGCTGCAGGGCATTCTTAAGCTTCCCTTGTCAGCTTTTGTAACACCTTAACTGAAATTATTGATCTGAATTAATCTGATGTGCACTAATTCATTAGTAGTCTCAAGTGTTAGTGTTAGGAGAATATTGAGGATTTTATCCTGATGCATGATGTTAGATACTTCTATTATTTCCTGTTAATGAGATCTTGCTAATAAATGACATTTATACAGGGTAGGCTTGGTGGAATCAAAAATCCGTATTCTAGTTGGAAACCTGGAGAAGAACGAATTCATTACACTGGCTCATGTGAATCCACAGTCATTCCCAGCACCCAAGGAGAATCCTGACAAGTAAGCAAACACATTTTCTTTGTTTAGTAGGGAGAAGCTAACTTAACTAAAATACAATTTCATTAATAAATAAACGGACATTTTTATAGAATCTTAAAAGGATTAATTTTTAATGACAGCACCTAAAGGCAAACAAACAATGCTCAGCTCGTCTTAAGTACAATTTGTGAAACAGACACTCTTTAATTCTGTATAAGCATGCCTCTAAATCAGAAAATAAGGGGAAATGTATTTTTGTTAATAACTCTATTAATTGCATGATTTCTTGCCAACCTGTATAAGTTACTGCTACTTAGTTGATGCTGTTTTAATTGTGAGGAAGCACTGAGAATCTGGGAGAACATCAGGAACTGTAGAATGGAGCTTTTGAGTAACTAAGTTCATTTGATGTTACAAAATTTAGCAGTTGGGATGAATATCATTAAAATCATAATGACTGTGGTTAGAATTTGTCAGGTTGTGGAAACAGCGGAGAGAATATCAAGTGCTTCAGATTGCTGAGGATTTTAAATGTTTTTTTGCCTCTTTCCTCCCCCACTTAAAACAGTGATTCCAGGTGTGTGGGGGCTGAAAACTCTTTTAAGACTTTATTTCAAGATAGCATTGTAATTAATTTGCAAGGAATCATATTTTTGTGTAAAGTGTGAGAATAAGGGAGAAATGTGTTACTACTGGGATATGTGAAAAGCCTTGTTAGCCTTGCACAGGGTCTTTTCCACACATTAATTGCTTCAAGTACAGTATGGGGCTACTTTTTTTTTAGAGCTTATATAATTGTTACACCTGTGTTCCAAGTAAAATTGGACAAAAGCAGGCAGTACCTCTTCATCACTGTTTTAGTGGGTGGATATAGTTACATCTGCCTGCATAATCAGAGGCTCCAATTAGCTTTTATTTCAGAGGACTTGATGCAGCCAACACTTCAGCTAACGTTGTCTTCCCAGTTTATACAAAGGACATTCTTTCACCTGTGAAGGGGAGTTGTCAAAGGGAGGGTTTTAACTGAAACCTGCAGTTTATGGTCAGTTACAGCTAAGAAATTTCAGCGTTGAAGACACATTTAGGTTGCAAAATGGTAGTTGCTTAATTGGGTAATAGATTCTAATTACTTTCAGTGCCTTTATAGTTGCTATGGCTAATTGAGAACTGGTTACTCTCATCCAGTTGAATGGAGTAATCTACTGATGATCTTAGTTCATTTGCTGGAGGTAGATGTGTAGTGTTTAATGACTTTTCTATTGTGAATGAAAAAGGAATATTTTCAGTCATCTTTGGGTTTTGCCTTTCTATGCCCAGTTTCCTACTGCTACTGGAGCTAAAAAGTACAACTGTTGTCTATTGCAGCAAATAATTTATTAAGCTATTTAATTCTGTCAGTATTACATGACTGTTTTATATAAAATTTTCCAGGGAAGAATACCGTACAATGTGGGTGATTGGGTTGGTGTTTAAGAAAACGGAAAACTCTGAAAATTTAAGTGTCGATCTTACCTACGACATTCAGTCTTTTACAGACACAGGTGAGTTTTGCTTTCTAGGTGTTCTGGTATTAATAAACTTGTTGAAGTTACTGACTTTGCTCAAAATGTAGTCTTTATTCGTAATGCTCATAATAGTAGAATTCTATCTACACAGAGGCTTTCAGCTAAGGAGTTAGGGGTTTTATTCATGGAACACATTTTCAATGAGTTTTAATGCTCCTAAACACTTCAGACTAATCACTTTCAGTTTGTTCTCATTAAAAGTGATAAAAATTTCACACACATCTTGCAGATCTCACTAAAAGTGTGGTGCATTATTTTGTAATCTTTATTGAACAGATGAATTAGTTATTATACACAAGCTAGCAAGCTTAACCTCAGAAATTTTGAGTATAGTTTAAACATTTTTGTTACTTGGTGAAACTGAATTTTTCAGTGAATTAACAAAATGTCCTTTATTCCATGGTATTTCATACTAGATAATTGATTCAGTAACCTTTACTTTAATGTCCAACACTCAGTGGAACAGAGCTTTTTGACTTTCTGATGTTTGCTTTTTGATTCACAAAAATAGTACACACATAAGAAGTTTTGTAAGCAAAGAATTGGTAACAGCTGGAGAGTGTGACACCAGAGTGTCAGGAACAGTAGCTTTGACAGATTTATCTAATAATTTTATAGGTTTTTTTTTTTTAACAACAACAGTTGAGGCTGAAGTATTCTGTGTTTACATAGTTGAAGGAGTAAGTTCAAGTATTACCTAATGCAGCCAGAGTCTCTGAATTTCTAAGACTCAGTCTGAGGAAGCAAGGCAATTGAACACCTTGACCCCCCCACTTCTACCTAACACTTGTCAACGTAATAAATTTATAGGCATATCTATAAATCATGCCAACATTTTAAAGTTGTTTATTGTCACGTATAGCTGTAGAGGGGCATCTCTTTCTTGAGAGCTGAAATATTTCTTGTAATTATTATTGATGAAGGAGAAACTGTAGAAACTATAGGAACATCATTCTAATTTTTGAGAATTTAGAAAAGACAGTGGCTTGGCTGCTGCTTTGAAGGAGAGAAGGAATTCAGAAGTTAGTTTCTCAGGTCTTTCATTGCTTATAAACAGATTTTTCAGTAGTATACTTGTCAGAGATTTTTGGTATGAAAAGACTAAAACTTGCACTTACGGTTTTTGATGTGATTTATTTTCATTATATTCCTGAGGTTTGTGTAAATATATGCACTTACAAGTGGAGTAGCATTTCATCAAGATCCTTAGAAACTGGTGCAGCTTTCAATTTGTGAATATGCTTCCAGAAGTAACAATCTAGTAAACAATTTGTTTGGGGGGGGGGGGGGGG